TCTATGAGACCATTCAACACACACACAAACACTCACACACACACACACACACACACACACACACACACACACACACACACACACACACACACACACACACACACACACACACACAAACCACAACTCCCAGAATCACACACGGCATCACATACACAATTTACTAGCAGACGACGGTATTGAACAAGTTTGTCTTTTGGACTTGGTTCTTTGATGTTACAGTATGCATTGATTAGCCAGGAGTATAATATGCATATTATGTAGATTAAGAGACTAAGCTACAGCTACAGAACACAGGATCATAATGAAAAAAAATTAACGCACACGCTGTGGTTTGTTGTCCTGCTTAATTCAATTTTAGAGCGAACATGTCGTTTACACTGCTGTCACCGAGCATCCCTCTAAAACATAATGGTTACATTAATTTTACTGGTGGAGTTAATCTGTGAAACTCAGGGGCAACGTTGGTGTAGGTGAATGTATTTATTTAAACTTTGAACTTTAAAAACGTTTTTCGTCTGTCGTTTTGATGTTCTCATTTCTGTTTGTTTTTGTTTTTTTGTCTTTGTTTTTTCTTCGTTTTGAAAAATATGTCTCTAATTTTTTAGCAAGTTCTTACTTCTGTATTTTTCGTGTCCCCTCTAAGAACCCTTGTCCTACTTCAACAGTGTAGCATTGTGTTTTGAAGCAGGGCGTAGAACTGAAGCTTAGACAAATCCCCCTCCCACCTCCCCCAACCCCACCTTTATCTATTTAATGAATACATCAATTGAAAAGAAAAGCTAACGATGATGGCGTTGTCCACAGCATCAGCATTTTCCTCGAATCTGTTCTATTCCTTCTGAAAGCCTTATAGAGCAAAACATTACCTTTTGCTTTCTTTTGTCAAGATAAGCCTGGCAACCGCAAATATAAATCCCCCACATTGCTTGTTAATGCTGTTGTCAAATCTGGCTCCAGGAACGTGAAGAGAGTGAGGAAATTTCTTAGTTGCAGAGCATTTAACATAACACATGAAGAGTTAGGGCCTGCAAAATATTACAATTTACAAACTCTTTGAAGTTACTTGTTATTTCTCCCAAATGGTTCTTAAAAAATAATAATTTAACGCCTTCATATTGGACGGTGGAGCTAAGTGATGCAAAGGATAATTGTCCACTTAGTGTTGTCACGAAACATGACACAGTGGCCACTTTTTATTAATGTTTGCCGAAACCGTGTTGTGGCTATTTGCTGCTAAAGTATGAAACACAGGCGAGCTTTGAGGCCGATCAATACACACGAGTTGGCCACCACAAAGGCTGTGTCAGAGCGGAGATCGTTTCGCCCCAGAAGAATCCGAAGTCGTTCCACCCCTCGATCCCTTCTTTTCCTCCAGACACAGACACTTCCGTGTTCGGCATATCGAATTCTATGTCGTTGTCTCTGAGAAGAATATTTATTGATTCCTCTCACAGCGGGTCTCAGCTGGCGTAAACTCTTTGTGTGCGCGAGTATTTCGTGCGCAGGATATCTTCGAAACGGGTTCAGTATTTCTCTCATCTGTGATGAAATTATGTTCGAGTGGATAGCGGTTTGCAGTGTTGTGGCTATTACTTTTTGAACCTCTCTGGAGACTCATAAGTCACATGAGTATTAAAGGTAAGATTAGAACTGCAAATTTTGTTTGCTGTTACGGACTTATCTTTAACATAGGCCTACGTCTCTTAAGAATATTATTCTCGTACACTCAAAAAACACGATATTATTAATTAAACTAACACGCCTCGCAGAGTTCTCTTGGGGAACCAAGTGGTTATAATAGTAAGCACAGGATTCAGTTCTGGAAACAAAAATGTAAACCCAAATGCATAATTATTATCTTTCCGTTTCTTGTCTTCATCCTTTTCCAGTTTTCGTCTTTTCTTTTACATCTCACCTCTCCAAACTATTTTATCAATTTCTTTTTAAGATACTGTAGGACAATGTTCTTTTAGTGTAGCTACATGGCCAAGAAGGGCATTATACTAAACATCAATCTTTTTACTGCCAAGCCTGCTTTATAGTTTTATCGAAGGGCTAATAAATACAGTCTTGGGGGAAGACAGTGAACAGGTTAAATAAAGGAACCTAATAATGCCCCTTCTCTTCACGTAGACGAGATACTCACGTGCATAAAGGAATTCACCACGTACTTGTATTTTCCCTTGTGAACGTCCTAGGACATAGACGTGTCAGATCGGCGTCTGTGGTGTAGCGGTTTGGTTCTTCGCTATTACACGCAGGGGACCCAAGTTCAATTCCAGTGTTGGGATAAATCAATTTTTATTGAGTATCTCGGTCTTTCAGCTGGAATTTGCATCCCTCTCAGCCCGAATTGGTCCTTTTTGCCAAGGTCGAAAGCTCGCCTCATCAATGATTCAAATTTTGTCGATTTAAAACATTTTTTTAGGGGGGGGGGGCGTAAAACACCCTTGAAAAGAACGAGATAGATATAATTTATAGTCTATACGTAGTATATTCTCCCCTGGTCTTTACTCAATTGTTCCTGAATATTTACCTGTATTGTGCTCGCACAAATAATATAAGATACATCTTTATTTCAAAACCTTACTACACTGGTTTTGTTTGACCAAG